GGGGGGGGGGGGAGGAGTGAGGAGGATCGAGGCGTCGCGCTATTTTGAGAACACGCTCAAAATGCCCCTCAAGCCGAATCAGGGAGCCGTCAGCAAGATCCCCCTCATCGATTACATGCCAATCTAGTGTCCGACCAGGCGCATCGCCGGCGGGGCCCGCAGGCCTCCTGATGGGTGGGGAGAAAAAAGCAAGGGCTCCCAGTCAACCTCCACACTTGGGACTGGGGCCGGGGGCTGTCACCGCGGGATGATGAAAATCCGCTAGACATGCCAACGGTGTGGGAGGAGGGGGACGCGATCAAAGCCGGGGCCCAGAAGTGGCGATTGAGCGAGTGGGTATATTATGGTGGGGGGGGGGGGGACTCAAGGACAGAGCGTGTGCGTTGGAAGAGAGGTGTGGGGGTAATAATCTGAACAGAGGTGGTGTGGATGTGTATGCGCGTCCATACGGCGAGGAAGACAAGCGGGAGGTATGCGTCTCCCTGTGCAACACGCATGTGTAGCAAGTGTAAGCAGGAGGGAAAGAGAGGGAGAGGGTCCAGGCGATGCCGTGGCTCGGCGGCACTCTTCGCGTGACACGTGCGGTGCATGAGTATGTGACTGCATGCCATGTTCCCCGGCGGTGGAGGGGGAAAGGGCAGCGAAGGAAGGAGAGGGGGGGGGGGAGGAACACGCCACGCGCCTGGCGCGGGTGCACCACCTCCTCGGGTGAGAGCGAGAAAGCTGCCAGCGAGCGCAATCGGAGATGGAGCATGCAGCAGGAGGCGCATCGGGAAGGAGGCACCGCCTTGTCCGGGTGCGCAAATACAGGGATACATATATGTATGTGTGCGCGTGAGCACATGTATATGTATGGACACGAGAGAGAGAGAGAGAGAGAGATGATATGAATGGAGGACTGATGAGGAGAATGCGCGGGTGCATGCGCACGATGGGGAAAAAGAGCAGGACACCAGTCACCACAAACAACATCAACAAGTCAAGGGGGGGGGAGGGGGGAGGGGCAGGAGAAGGATGGGGGAGTGGAGAAGACCGAGAACACCCTGCCATTCGAGAGGAAGGGAACTCGGAGAGTATAAAACAAAGCCGAAGAACCGGAAGGGAGCCAGAGCCAGAGCCAGGACGATGACGGAGAAGAGACCCGACCTTAGATCTTGTCCAGGAGGGCCAGAGTGTCCAAAATCTCAGCCAGACGGTGGGCCCGCTCGGCTTGGTGCCGGGCGACCAGGGCCACCTGGTCCCGGTGGAGCTGCTTCGACAGGACGTCCAGCTCCGACGCCAACTGGGCCTCGAGATCCGAACGGTTGCTGGCCTGGCGGTCGAGCAGCGACCGACGCTCGACCGCCTGCGACTCCAGCAGCAGGTCGCGCCGGACCAGCTGGTAACTCTTCAGCTGCTCCCGGTCGCGCTCGTGACGCTGGCGCATGTCGGCCAGCTGGCGCTCCTGCATTGCCTGCAACCGGGCACTGGCCTCCTCCACCAGACGCTCAGCCGCCTGGTCATGCTCCTGCTGGATGGTTTGCGACACGCGCAGGTACTCCTGGCGGAACTCCTCCGACAGGAGCCGACGCTCCTCCTTGGACTGGGCGTTCTCAAGCAGAGCCTGCTCGACAACCGCCCGGCGCTCGCGCGACTGCCGCAAGGCCTGCTCCCGGACTCGGGCCGCCTGCTCGCGGATGGCCTTCAGGGTCTTCGGGTGGGCCTTGACTTCCAGAAGATGGGTCTTCCGCAGCTCCTTATCCTCCTTCCGATGAAGCGAGGCCAGCTGCTCCCGCTCCAGGCTTTGGGTCTGGGATTGCTGGTTGACAAACTCCTGCTGGACTTCGATGAAACACATCTCGTAGGACTGCTGCTCGGCGGCGAAATTTTGCAACCGCACCGCCATCAGATGCCGGGCATTCTCGGTCTTCTTCCGAGCCTCCTCCTCAAAGTGTCGCAGCTCCAGCTGGAACTGCGCCTCAAGCAGGGTCCCGGCGAAAGCCCGACGCTCGACATCGGCCTGCTGCTGGCAGGCACCCTCGAACTCGAGATTGGCCACACGCGTCCACTCGTCCAGCTCCATGGCATGGTATTGCTTCATGTCCCGGCGCTCAACCTTGTCGGTGACAGTCAGCGAGTCCCGGAAGGACCGGCTCATGTCCTTGATGATGGTCTTCTGCTGGGACAGGTGCTGCTTCAGCTCCTTCTTCTGCCGGGCCTTCTGCTCCTTGACAAAGTTCTTCATGGCAGCCTGTTGCTGGCGAAGGGCTGCATCACTCTCGGCGCGCAGCCGGGTGGTCAGCTTCTCGTGCTCCGAGTTGGCCTGCTTGACGGCGGCCTCGATCTCCTTCTCCAGACGAGAAATGGTCTCGCTGTGGGTCTGATCATGGGTCTGAAAAGAGCGGGGGGGGAGGGAGGGGGAGAGAGAGAGAGAGAGACAGGCATAGGAGGACACATGGTTGGATTTGTTTGATGAGTATAACAAGGCAGAACAGGAAACAGACTCACACACACGAACAGAGACAAGGATCGACCAATAGAGAGAGAGGGAGAGAGAGAGAGAGAGAGAGGCATGGAAAAGGGCGTACCTTGCGCAGCTGCTTCAGGAACTTGCCCTGCTGGGTCTGCAGGAGCTTCAGCTCCTTCAGCTGGGTCTTCATGAGCTGATAATCATTTCGCCGGAGCTCCTGCTCACGGCTGGCCCTGAAGACCGGCTTGATGGTCTTGTCATAGTTGGCCTCCTCCCACTGGCGATGGTCATCATTGGCCGAGGCGTCACTGGTCGATCCAATGGACAGGGAGCTGGAATGCGAGTCGCGAGAGGCCGCCAGCGGCTGAAGATGCATCTCGCTGGAACCGCCGAAGTCCGAATCATGAGACAGTTGCGATGACCCGGCCGGCGACCCGGGCAGGGCCAGCAGCCGCGAGGACGGCGGCGAAGAGGTGACATCCGACGAGGCAAAGGGAGCCACCGAAGAACCGACACTGTGCGACCGGCCGCGATGGTCGCCGCCGGGCATGTCACCACCAAGACCAACCCCGTCGTCATCGGCGCTGGCCGAGTGCGACCGGAAGACACCATCCGCCGCAGAGGCGCCCGGAGTCGGGCTTCGACCGGAGGAGGCGCCTCCACTGGGCCGGCCAGACGACCGCAGGTGGGCCCCGGTGTCAGCGGTCCCGAAGCCGGAGCCAGTGCACGTGGCCACGGACTGCGAGCGCTGATAGTGCAGTGACTGGCGCCGGGCCAGGGAGGAAGAGGCAGCCGGCGAGAGCCCGGTGCCGATGGGCGAACGCGGCCCGCCACCGACCGCTGCATCCGAGAAGGACAGATACTGGCCCACCTGTGAAGAGGAAGAGGCGGAGCGCGTCAGCGTCAGAGCCGGGGGCAGTGGACGCGAGGGGGTCCCAGCCGCCGAGGACACGTGCGACGAAGTCGACGACGAGGAGGGGGGACTGGAAAGAACTGAAGAGGCGGCCGAGGATGCGGAATAGGCCGAATAGGCTGACGAGGAGGTCGAACTGTCCACCGAGGAAAGGCTGTCCGCCGGCGAGTCGGGCGGCGGGCTGTGTGGGTCTTTGTCGCTGCCGACATGCGAGAAGGCCTCCTCGCTGCCAGGGGCATTGCCGGTTGATCCGAGGGACATTTCGGCCATGGCAGCATTGATGCCACTGCCGGCGGTATCAACCTCCAGCGGGGCCGGCCGGGGGGTGGCACCATCACCAGCCGAAGGCTTGCGAGACCGGCCACTCCGGGGCCGGTCACTCTTGCCGGAACGCTCGCCCTTTGGTCTGGAGGACTTGGGCTTGGAGGGCTTGCTGCGGGCGCGCTTGCGGCGAAGCTGCGGGGAAAGGCGCCGAGGGGGATGTGCGGCAGCATGTGCGAAACCGGAGAAGGCATACCCCGGGCATGGGGGGAGGGGGGGAGGGAGAGAGAGAGAGAGAGAGAGGCAGGTCCAATTGTTAGAAGGCTGCCACTTGACCAGGGCAAGGGGGGGAAATGGCGAAGGAAAAGGAGCCAAACAAAAGGGTGACCGATCTCTGCCGAGAGCGGCATGCGGCAAGAGGGGACAATGGCGGGAACAAGAGAGAAAGAGGCAGAGAGGGGGGCCAGGCACCTCCTGGGTGTCGTCTAGATCGCTATCGGCCGCAAGCAGCCGGTCGAGGCATTCCTCCTCCAGGGTGGAGCAGTCGACCTCCTTGCCGTCGATCATGATGGTCAGGCCATCATTCGGGCCAACCGATCCACCGTCGGAGGAGATGGTGATCCGCGGCATGGGCACCGGGCCGACGGCCGAGGTGACCAGATCGAAGGTGGTCTTGGCGTCGACGGCGTTCTTCTCGAGGGCCTGGGCGGCACTGCGCGCCCGGCGAACCAAGATCTTCAGGGTCCGCGAGTGGGTGTCCCGATAATTGCTGATAAAGGGATGCTCTCGCAGACGGAGGGCCGAATGCCGGTCGGAGGGGGCCATCTGTAGGCAGGACTCGACAAAGTGGTTGAAGTCGGCCGACCACCGCTCGGGCGCTTGCAGCCGAGGAGGAGGATTCTGCGGGATGTGGTACAGGGCAGACATGGTGTTCATCTCAAACAGGGGGGGCTTTTGCTCGGCCAGCTCGATGCATGTGATGCCCAGGGACCAAATGTCGGCCTTGGTTCACGAGGGGCAGGGGATGAGGGACATATGGCCATGGCAGAGGGAGCATCATGGAAGATGCCGAATGGGTATTCGGGTATATGCATGCGTGTGAGAAGGATAGGGGAGAGGTGGGAGGAGAGGGAGGAGAGGAGAGAGAGGGAGGGAGGAGAGGAAGGAAGGGCAACTAAGCGCACACGCTGGGTATAAAGACCACTCTCCATCGCCAGGATCACCTCCGGGGCCATCCAACAGGGGGTCCCGATGAAGGTGTTGGCCGGGTCAGACATGGATGCGGCGCCGAAGTCGCCCAGTCGGACTTTACCGCGACTGGTGAGCAAGATATTGGCAGCCTTGATGTCACTGTGGTCGCATAGATGGGGGGGGGGGGATTGTAGGCAATCGCCAGGGTGAGTACCGAAGCAAGCGCAGGCCCACAATGAGGGGGAGATACAAAGGTGAGATGCAAATCCATGTGCCAACATACCGATGGATGCGATTCGTCCCATGAAGGTAGATCAAGCCCTCGAGGACACTGGCAACAAGGGCCGAGATCTCGGTCTCCAGCAGCGGTGCGCGCAGGACTTCCAGGACGTCCGACACCGAGCCCATACAGAACTCCATCACCAACCAGACGGTGGAGTTCTTCAAATGTGCGGCCACATGTCGCACCATGGACTCGTTGTTCATGGTGGCGATGAAAGCAATTTCCTTCATGATCTCAATCCAGGACTGTGTTCCCGAAGGCCGGCAGCCGAGGTGGGAGGATGGGCGGGCGGGCGGGCGGGCGGGCGGGTTAGCACGAAGGGCAAAAGAAGGGGCGACGCGTGTGATTGACGGTGGGCATGACCCATGCGCCCGGGGATACGAACCTCGCTGCCCTGCTCCCCCTGGATGGACATCTTCTTGATGGCCACGATCTCGCCTGTGGATAGTTGCCGGGCCTGTGCATGATGGCAGATGAGAGATTGGGAGGGGGGGGGGGGGGGGGGTGAGAACAACCAGCGACGGCGAGAATGGGGCACAGGCGCGAGGGGGAGGAGGGGGGGGGAGGGGGGCAAGATGTCGCGTCGGGCAGCATGCGGACCTTGTAGACCGAGCCGAAGCTCCCCTGGCCGATTTCGCAGAGGATCTCATATGCCTCATCCGGGTCTTCCGCCTGCAGGTAGGATGAGTAGTCGATCTCCTCCACCGGCGCCTCGGTGGGCGCTGTGCTGAAAATGCCCATTTCTCAAAGGGCGCCGGAAGAAAGGCGGGCGTCCCTCTGTGGGGGGGGGGGAGGGCAATGAATCAGAAGCTGCGGGGCATCGGGAGAATGCGAGGAGCAGGAGAAGGAGGAGGGGAGGAGGAGCAAGAGAGGCGGAGGGGAGGGGGGGGGAGGGGGAGGCCGGGAGGAACGAACCACTGGGGGGAGGCAAGGCAATGCAGTGGGGGGGTCGTCCGCAACGAGCCGCTTGGCCCTTCCATGGATTGGACTGGGCAGAGGGGCTTGGAGGAGGGGGGGAGGGGGGAGAAGGGAAAAGGGCGCGAGCGGGCGGGCGGGCGGCGGCAGCGGCAGGCAGGCAGACGGGGCGGGGGGCAGGCGATGTGTGGGAGGGTGTTTGGGGTTTGGGCAAAGGGCGTGGGTGTGCAGAGGGGGGAATGTGGGGGAGGGGGCGGGGGAGGGGGCGGTGTGCGTCGCCCTGAGGGCCGACAAGGAAAAGACCCCGTTCTGATGTAGAGGCACCGGACGAGACCGGCCCTCTGGCTCCGCTCCGGAAGACGAGACACAAGCCCGGGTGCAACCGGGCCCGCCGGCAAATCCCTCTCGCATGTGGGCCCCCCGCTGAACGGGCGAAGGGAAGGATATAGATGTGTGAAAAGGGAGGAGCAGTCAGCACCGGGGGGGCATTGAGGAAGAGCCAGCTACGTGCCGCCCCCCCCCGCCCCCCCCCCCCCCCCCCCCCACCGGAACCGTGCCGGGGCAAAAGGGGCGCCCGGG